CCCCCAAAACCCCAAAACCCCAAAACCCCATAATAGAAGGATTAACATTCAAATTAGGTATTGTAGAATTTAAATAATAATTATTATCTGAGTTATCTTAAAATCCATAATGAAATCATACAGTAACAATATTGGGTAAAGTTATGATTATTTTTGCTATATAATTTTAGATTTGCATTAAACAGGAATTTATTTTTGGGTTGCCTTGGGCATATCTTGACTCATTACACAGCCTTCTTGCTTTTATTCACCTTGATTTAGTTCTATCAGTTCCAGCATCCTTTCTACATCTTAATTTGGATGTCTTGTATTAAATTATTAGTTAATCTATATTAGTAATTATGTTCATTATTGGATTTTTTACTGGAGCTTATCAAATACTGAGAGCGTGGAATGTAAACGGATCGATATTTAGCATAGGGGTCGGAGCAATATTTTTGCTATTTATTTTTCATTCATTTGAATGGGTCTTTCTCATGTTTTCTTTAAAACTGAAAGGTGCTTTGCCTATTCTAAACTATGTAACATTTTCTACAGCAACAGATAACTTGGTTTCTCTTGGTCTATCGAGATATGTTTTAGGTAACTCAAAAATTTGTTAACTTAAATCCCTTTAGGCAGAAAAATCAACACAGGTCATTTAATATCTGTTCTTGTGGGATTATTTGCTGTTATATGTTGTGAATTTCTTGTATTTTAAAGTGATAATGGGAGAACTTATAGCTCAGATTCATTTATCCTAGAGCCAACATTATCATAAGACTAGACATATGCCTATATCTACTGTTTGCTTAGTAGATTTTGTCATGGAGGAGCATGTATAGTTTAGAAGAAAGCATTATTAAAGCAGGCAGCTTTTGAGAGATTTAAAACTTATAAACTAAGTGTAAAAATTATCATTGTTATATAATTTTTATAGCCTTTCAGAAAAATAAGAGTAAATGATCTTAATAATGAGGGAGAAATAAGTAAGCCAGTAGTTCGACAAGAGTCAGCGTTGTACAGAAAAGCATTATTCAATTTGAATGAAAAGAAACTTTTAAGCAAGGCAAACATGAGTCTTAAAGATATCGATGAACTTTCTAAAAAGTAAGATAATATTATCTAATCAAGCGTTTTTAAAGATAAAATAAGTTGGATGAATAGGAGCTTAAGCTGTTGCAAATTCTTAGAAATTAAGATAAATTTGAGGCATCGAAAGTAGACAGAAACAGAGGTATGTCAAAGAGATACGGTGCGAAACTTATTTAAAGAAACAAGGAGAAGGCAATCAACAAAGTTCATGTAGAGCAGCAGCTAGTATTAAGTGATAGGACTAGATAAGTTGATAAAGCTTAGGATTCAGTAGCCAATGAAAATCTTACTGATGATAATCAGATTAATGTTGGAGAACAAATAGACAGACTCGAGAGGTAATAGGAATAATAAAAAGTATGGGCAATTCAAATGAGTGAAGAGATGCAAGAGATTATCAAAGATTACAAGTTCTATGAATTGCACGAACATCTCTTCGATGGATAAGATGACATATTACTTTCTAAGTTAGATGAAATATTTGACTCGACATCCTTAGATTGTGAGCTTTTTGGAACTGAAGTGCCTTCTCATTTTAATCTAATGACAGTAGTTGGTGGGTTTTTATCAGTTCCTCTATTCATTATAATGCACTTATTATCTGGTGGAGATCCTTTTAGTTTTATGTTGATAAGAGAAACTGATTAGGATAAGATTGATTTTTACCAGTATATGTTTAACAATAGATGGGAAACAATAGTAATACTTATTACTATATCAATCCTTTACACTTTAAAGCCTATAACTACAACCAATTTCGTCCTATCTATTTAATCACCATTGACATATGTGGCTGTTGAGTTAGCTGCAAAGATATTTTTCATTTTTACAACTATGATTCTTGTAGAGAGTAATGCATATATATCTGCTATGGAAGCAACTGGACTTTCCTTATCTCTTTTATCTTAGATAATGTACTATCATTTTTCTGACAAGTTTAAAGATCAAATCTAAGTTTAATCGGCATGTGACTCTCTTAAGAACATTTTTGAGTATGAAAGTATAGAAGAGTTGGAAAAGATTGAGAAAAAGCTCTAAATGATAGCATCATAGTTTTCAACTACCGAAGCGTTAAGAATTTTATTCGATATTGTCATTTCAAGAAATAAAAAACAATTCGATTATCCATCTATTTCAACTTTAGATATTTAAAGAAAATTTGACTTCAATTACTAAAAAACCACATCTTAGTGGGGAGGTGGTTATCCCAGGCCAGCTTATGAATTTGAGACTTAGTCTCATGTAATCCGTGATAGAAATATTGAAGAAGTGGATAAACCCAGATTTATTAAGGTTTAAGGAAAATCTGTTTATGATTTGAGTTCCCTGAAAGATGCTAGAAATTAATGGGCCAGAATAGATGCAACTAGCAACAAACTAGACAGTTCAGACAATAAATAAAGTTTGATATCAAAGAGAAGAAAAAGTGATTTTCACGATGCAGTTAGCAGACCAATGAATGAGTCAATCTTGAGTGAAAGTAAGGATATGTTGATGACTCAACAGTAGTTAGTAAATGACTCTGATGCCAGTGAATCATCAAGTGAAAATGATAGATATGATAATATGATTGGCCAGTAAGACGAGGAGAGTGATGAATCTAGAAATAATGAATAGGATTACGATCACTATGAAGTAAGTTAGAAGAGACTTCAATCTATGATTATTAAAGAAAATGTTTCAATCAACTCAGATTAGCTCAACCTCACTGGAATAATAGACAAATCTTCGATAATGAAGCACGCTAAAACCTAGTCACTACCACCACAGCAATTAACTATTGAGCAAAATGAAAAACTAGACTTCGACAATATTTAAGATGTTGCATAAGATAGCTCATTACAAGTTCATGAGAACATATTTGCCAATGATTTCGAAGACTCAAATTAAAATGATGTATCAGTTTCACAAAGTTTAAATGATAGTAGCAATTTGAAGTTCAAAAAGAGATCGAAGAAAAAGAAGACGAATCTCTAAAAGTCAAAGTAGAGCTTGGAAAAAGCTAAAACTAGCAAGTTGTAAGGAGCAAAGCCGAAGAAAATTATTCCTAGAGAACCTACTTTAATGAAGTTTCCTGAAGATGAGGAGAATGAAGAAAAGAAAATAATGGAACAAGAGATACAAGAAAGACTTCAAGAAATGCAAAAAATAAATCTTCCATCAATTTAATAAAGCAATAGAAGAGGAAGTGTTTGGGTGTAGGATTTAGAAGCTGAAGAAGATAATCATGAGGAGTTGTAATTCCATAAAATGAAGGATTGATAGCTTGCCAATAACCTATATTAATCTTAATTTCATAATTTAATTTTTAAATTCATATCAAAAGATTATACTAGAATATGTGGGGTTTTGGGGTTTTGGGGTTTTGGGGTTTTGGGG